CAGCCACATGCAGAAGAATGAAACTGGACAATTTCCTTACACCACACACAAAAATAGACTCCAAATGGTTGAAAGACCTAAACATGAGACAGGAGTCCATCAAAATCCTAAAGGAGAACACAGGCAGCAACCTCTTCGACCACAGCCGCAGCAACTTCTTCCTAGAAACATCGCCAAAGGCAAGGGAAGCAAAGGCAAAAATGAACTATTGGGATTTCATCAAGATAAAAAGCTTTTGCACAGCAAAAGAAACAGTCCACAAAACCAAAAGACAACCGACAGAATGGGAGAAAATATTTGCAAGTGACATATCAGATAAAGTGCTAGTATCCAAAATCTATAAAGAACTTATCAAACTCAACACCCAAAGAACAAATGATCCAATCAAGAAATGGGCAGAAGACATGAACAGACATTTTTCCAAAGAAGACATCCAAATGGCCAACAGACACATGAAAAAGTGCTCAACATCGCTCGGCATCAGGGAAATCCAAGTCATAACCCCAATGAGATACCACCTCACACCAGTCAGAATGACTAAAATTAACAAGTCAGGAAACAACAGATGTTGGCAGGGATGCGGAGAAAGGGGAACCCTCCTACACTGTTGGTGGGAATGCAAGCTGGTTCAGCCACTCTGGAAAACAGTATGGAGGTTCCTCAAACAGTTGAAAATAGAGCTACCCTACAACCCAGCAATTGCACTACTAGGTATTTACCACAAAGATACAAATGTAGGGATCCGAAGGGATACGTGCACCCCAAAGTTTATAGCAGCAATGTCCACAATAGCCAAACTGTGGAAAGAGTCATGATGTCCATCGACAGGTGAATGGATAAGGAAGATGTGGTATATATACACAATGGAATATTATGTGGCCATCAAAAGGAATGAGATCTTGCCATTTGCAACGATGTGGATGGAACTGGAGGGTGTTATGCTGAGTGAAATAAGTCAATCAGAGGAAGACATGTATCCTATGACCTCACTGATATGAGGAATTCTTAATCTCAGGAAACAAACTGAGGGTTGCTGGAGTGGTGGGGGGTGGGAGGGATGGGGTGGCTGGGTGATAGACATTGGGGAGGGTATGTGCTATGGTGAGCCCTGTGAATTGTGCAAGACTGTTGAATCACAGATCTGTACCTCTGAAACAAATAATGCAATATATGTTAAGAAAAAAAAAAGAAGAAGAAGATAGCAGGAGGGGAAGAATGAAGGCGAGTAAGTCTGAGGGAGAGACAAACCATGAGAGATGATGGACTCTGAAAAACAAACTGAGGGTTCTAGAGGGGAGGGGGTGGGGGGATCGGTTAGCCTGGTGATGCGTATTAAAGAGGGCACATTCTGCGTGGAGCACTGGGTGTTATGCACAATGAATCATGGAACACTACATCAAGAACTGATGGTGTAATGTATGGTGATTAACATAACAATAAAAAATAAATTTTAAAAAGTCATTATAAATTTGAAAGGATTCAAGTCATAGGAAATATATTATCTGAGCACAATGGAATTAAATTAGGATCAATAACAAAAAAATCTCTAAAAAATCCCTAAATAGGGGCACCTAGGTGGCTCAGTTGGTTAAGTATCTGCCTTGGCTCAGGTCATGATCTGAGGATCCTGGGATTGAGCCCCACATCTGGCTCCCTGCTCAGCGGAGAGCCTGCTTCTCCCTCTCCCTCTGCTACTCCCCTTCCTTGTGCTCTCTCTCTGTCAAATAAACAAATAAAATCTCTAAAAAAAAAGCTTTAAAAAATAAATAAAAATAAAAATAAATTTTAAAAGCCCTAAATATTTGGAAACTAAATTGCACATGTCTTTATACCTAATGGATCAAAGAAAGAAAACAAAAGAGAAATTAGGAAGTACTTTGAACATAATGAAAATGAGAAAACTGCATATCACTTTTTGTGGGATTCTGCTTAGGGAAGATTTATAGTACTAAATATCTATATGGAAAAAAGAAAACTCTCAAATCAATGATCTTAGCTTCTACCTTAAGGATTGAGAAAAAGAAGAGCTAATTAAACACAAGGTAAGTAGAAGATTAAAACAATAAAAACTAAAGAGAAATCGATGAACTATAAGTGAAAAGGACAGAGAAAAATCAATGAAACCAAAAACTAGTTCTTTAAGCAGATCAGTAAAATTGGTAAACCTCTAGCCAGACTGACAAGAAAAATGAGAGAAGTGACACAAATATACTCAGTGTCATTAATCATCATGGAAACACAAAATAAAACCACCCTGAGATACCATTATACCCCTATCATAATGACTAAACTTCAAAAGCCTGCCCATATCAAGTATTGATGAGAAAGAGTAACAGCTGGAAATAAAACACTGCTATTAGGGATATAAAAGGGCACAACCACTTTGAAAAAGAGTTTGACCATTTCTTTGAAAGTTACGCATATACTTGTCATATGATCTAGTCATTCCACTCCTAGGCATTTCCTCGAGATAGAAATGAAAGCATATGTCCACACAAAGATTAGGAAACAAAATTCACAGCAGCTTTGTTTGTAACAGCTCAAAACTGGACACAACCCAAATGTCCATCAATAAGTGAGTGGATATTCAAACTGTGATATATTCATTCAAATGGAATACTACTCAGCAATAAAAAAGGGTGAACTATTAATACATGCAAAACACAGATGAAGCTAAAAATAATTATACTGAGTAAAAGAAGCCAGGGCCGGAAAAAGAAAACAAATTATATGCTTATGTTTGTATAAAATTCTAGAAACTCAAGCTAATTAATATACAGTAACAGCGGATTAGTGGTTGCCTAGACAAAGGGAATGAGGTCAGAAAAGATGGATTACAAGAAAATTTGGGGGGATGGCAAATATGTTCCTAGTCTTGAATGTGGTGATACCTGCACAGGGGTATACATACTTAAGTCAAGACTCATCAAATTGTATACTTAAAATATATGCAATCCATTGTATGTCAACTGTACCTCAATTAAGCTGTTTAAAAGATTAATGGGCAAATATGAGTAAATACATACATAAATGAAAAGTTGGTTTCTTACCAGTCATTCACATTAATCAAGATAGGAAACATTAATTTATTTGGAGCTTGGTAAAAACATCAGTGAAGACAAAAAGGATCCATTTGAATTCATTTTATTTTATCTAAAATTAACCTAGAATATACCACACAGTTTTTTTCATAAACTCATTAAGAAAACAAGATACTGTGTTTCCAACAAATTACATACAATACATACATGCAAACAAAAAATCAGTATAGGTCTTTCTCTTGCTACTATCTATAATTCTAGATGTATGATAATTATAGTTTTGAGATTTATTCTGCATAGCGTAAATTTTGATGCACTTTGGTCTCAGATTTTCCACGATCAAATGAGAATACATTTGTATGACTTAAGATCTTTCCATTTGTGGTTCAGTTTGAACAAGATCGAGAAGTTCTGATCCCTTCTACAAGCTCTGAGAAAACAGAGGTTACACTGTGGTAGTATGTTCATGGGGGAGCTGCACCCAATACATGTTACAGTCCTAATTTGTTCCAGCTACAGTTGTAATTCTGCTCTGAAATTCAGTGCGTGAAAAATGGAAAAAGATTAGGCTGCTGGAGAGGGGGATAAAGTAGGCTACATCTGATTCTAGGATTTTTATTTCAAACAAAATAAAAAAATGCATGAGATTCTTCAGGTTTTTTTTTTTTAATTCTGCTCGCTTTCCTAGGTGGAAAGGGGATTATTATCCCCTTTTCTGCCTTGCAATCTTTCCAACTACACAGACTCTACACATTAAAAAATATTCTTCAACTGAAGTAATTAGGCCAAATATCATTTTAACATACAAAGTCTTTGAAATATATAACACACAAAGAAATTCAGGTTTATGTGGTTCAAGTGCCTCATAGTTTTTTGAGTTTTATGCTCTTTACCAAGAGCAAGTCTTCAGTTGGTCTGTAAATTGGCATGTCTAATATGTTTATAGATATTTGAAAATGTGTATCTTCAACATTTAATGCCTATACTCTTATTTATAAATATTCTTTGCTTCAAAAATTTTTCAAAATGATCACAAAAACTATGTTGGAAACATGAGTTTTTTATAGATTTGCCTTGTCTGCATAAGGGCATTCTTTAATTGTTTTATAACCACATTTACATATTTGTCTCTCTTCACCCCCAAACTCTAAAACATAAAAAATGTCACAGCAAAGAGCTCATAGACTTTGAAATCCCAGAGTCCAGCACATACTGAGCACTCCAAAAAACTAGAGCTACCTTTAAACTACAAAAATTTTAGGACAGGGCCCAATGATTATCTCATTATCTCATTATATAGGAACAGAACTATAATGTGTCCTAACAGGAATAGAATACTTGAAAATTATTATTTGACCAAAAGGAATATTTCTTAGAAAGGCAGAGAAAGCCTAAAAAGAATAATATAATTACAGTGAAAAGGCCTAGCTTAAATTCCACATTTGGCATCTTAATTAAATAACCAATTCTGGTTGGTTATTTCATTCTACTGATCATGTCATAATCTATAAAATGGACATGACCTGTGTCAGTGGGAAATTCTTGGTGAATCCGTACTGAGAGATGAAATTAAAGATACTGTCTGTAAAAATGTTTTCTATACTTTCACCTGTCTGATAGTACAAGATTCCATTCACTGAAGGAGAAGTCATAAAATTGAGTGATATCTCTCAATATATCAGTCCCTAACAGTCATGTCTTTCTCTCTAATGATTAATATATAGAGCAAATTGGGTCTACATGGCATTAATTGTATTAGAAACTGAAGTGCAAAGTTAAAAGCGCATGAGGATTCCAAGAGCAGCTAGAGACCCAATGAGAACCCTATATCCACTTATAGAAAACCAGTGCTGAAAAGCATCTTACAGGTGACCACTGAAACCTATCTTGAAGTTTGCTTTAATTTTTTTCCAAGCAGATGTTCATAATCCTTTAAAGATTCTTTTGTCCATTTCACAGGTCCCCTGTTATGGCTGGAGGTCTCTTTGCTGTGGATCGAAAATGGTTTTGGGAGTTGGGTGGCTATGACCCAGGTTTAGAAATCTGGGGAGGAGAACAATACGAAATCTCTTTTAAGGTAAGTTACCAAGACCCTCTTCACACATTGTCTACATAATTTTGGTGAGTCCCGTAGAGTTGTCATCATTCCGCCTCACAACCTGTGTTGTAAAACGACAACAAAAATAGCTATGTCACCTTTCTAAGTCAGCTTTTGGATGAGAGAAACTTCTTCCTTCTGATGTTTCAGCGAGATGTAGCCAGGTCATAAAAGAAATGCATAAGAGAAATCATTCAAAATCCCATTTGCAGGCAGAAAACTTCGTGCGTCAACAGGGCTACTGCCCCACCAACAAAGCTTTCCTTCCGTGGCACTTAGACCATACAGAGAAAATAATTAAGACAAAAGAAATTCGGTTACTGGAGTTTTTACTTTTTGTATTTATTTTTGAAATAATGGTTCATGTTTTGATTATAACCATTATTCCAAAATTTCAATAACAGAAAAGTAACCTAAAATATGAATAACAAATTAAGGCTATTTTTCATATAATTCCATAATATGTGAATTTTTTACGTCTTTTCATTGGAAATGGCCCAGGTCTCTACTTGCTTTGATCAGAAATACTCAGCAAGGGGCGCCTGAGTGGCTCAGTCCTTAAGCGTCTGCCTTTGGCTCAGGTCGTGATCCCAGGGTCTTGGGATCGAGCCCCGCATCAGGCTCCCTGCTCCGCGGGGGGCCTGCTTCTCCCTCTCCCACTCTCCCTGCTTGTGTTCCCTCTTTCGCTGTGTCTCTCTCTGTCAATTAAATAAATAAAATCTTAAAAAAATAAATAATAAAATAAAATGCCAATCTTATAGAAAAAAGAAATACTTAGCAAAATTATACATACATATGATGGAATTCAAATTTCAGGGTTAATGAATGGAAGGAATTCACCACAACATGTGAAGACCAAACAAGCAAAGCAAAATAAACTGTGTGAAAGGTTGTACTCCAAACCTCCAAGATGGTTTTTGGGCTTTTTTTGGAAAAAGCAGTCTCATAAAGGAGAAGAAATTCATTCTCTTTTTTTCTTTATCATTGTCACTATTTATACAGAAGATAGATTGATGTTGTAAGATTTATCATACAGAAATCTCTTACTAAATAAATCATTTTTTCCTAATTACTTCCATTATAAAATCAAACCAATTTCTGCTGAGGAAAAAAAAAAAGTATCCTGAATACAATAACAATCAAACTTAAGAATCCAGCTAAACTCTTTGAATTTATGCATAGAAAGAAAATGATAAAGCTGATCTTCATAAAACTGTGACAGCTATATTCAATATGTTGACAAAAATGTTGTGCTGTCCTCACAGTGTCAAAAATAAATATCTTTAAGGAAAAACTCAGGAGGCATGATTGCAGGCTTCAGGCCATCTAGAATTTTCCATCTCACTCTGCTGGCAGTAGTCCCTGAAATACCATTTAGTAAATTCATGCTCTTTTTCATCATCGTTCAAACACATTTAATCTCACATCTAAAGTACTTTTTTAAAATCTTTTTGTGGATATATGATTTTAAATCCTTAAATTTACCAATTTTGTTTGTTTGTTTCTCTGTGATAGTAATAGTTTCACACTTACCACAATGTATATGACAGAAGGTAGTTTAATAGTAGTAATGATGACAAAACTACATTTACTTACTGGTATGTGCCAGAGGCTGAGCTAAATGCTTTATATACATTATCTAATTTAAAGACATGACTAAGAGGTAGGTGTTATTCCATTTGAATAAACTAAGTGAATAAACTGAGACTTAACGTTTTAAAGATTTTACATTAAAAATTGTTTTAAACTTTAAAGATTACCCACTCTAAGGGGGTAACGTAAATTACCTAGTGCTGCTTTGGGATTAAAATGCTCCATTTCTGCTTAACTGCAGAGAATGCAGAACCAATACTACCAGTACCATTCTTGAGTTCATTGTGAACCCTTTGATCTCTACATAAAGTTTCCTCTCATTGAAAAGGCAAGGATTTTCCTTACTGCCAATAGCATGACAGCAAATTCACTGCTGACCCTGGCAAAATAACTCTGATTATCAGACATGGCTCAAAGCTAGATGCAAAGTTTGCTATAACACCTTCAACTGGAAAAAGAGAGTATTACATTTGACACCAGCATTAAGAAAAAAAAATGACATTGCTATATCTGCAATATCTTCAGAATTCAAGAAATACTTTTTACTTTCCACTGTTCAAGATTTCTTTTTCTTAAATACTGTTAATTCACAGATTCTTTAAGTTTAAAATTTTATTAAAAACATTTCTAATAAGCAGGAGATACCTGGTTTTGAATAACGAGCGGGACGATGGATAAAATTGCTATGGAAAGTCTGGAGGACTTGCCCAATATACATTTGCATTCTAAATCACAGAAGCATTTCTTAAACATAGACCTGCATCTCTCATTTCTGTGTCACTTGTAGCTATCACACCTCTTCTGGGTGACCTGAGATTTTATTACTCCATTTCCTATTTTTCACTTATCTGTCATTCTGAAGGATATAATTGGAATACAGCCCTGTCGTCTTTGTCTAGAAACCATGGCAACAGTGCGGGAAGTTCAGGACTAAATTGCCCCAGGTTGTTTGGTTGGAATGACAGATTCTTTGGCAACAGCTATTTCTTACAGGGACCCAGTTCAGACATATCCCTTCATTCTTCTTGCTACTGTGTGCTGACCTTGGGGTTCCTGTCCCTCCCTATTAGTATTTGTAACATGAAGGGGACAAACTTACACAGGCTTTGGTAGAATTTGCACTGAAGCAAGAAGAATTTTCTCATTAATTCTTGTGAAAGGAATCAAAAGAGTTGTACACACCTAGTTCTGTGAAATAGTATTTAAAATAAAAGAAAAATCAAACATCTGCATCCCGGGACATATTCCATAAATTATGATTAATTTTGCAGGGCAAAGCACTGTAAAATATACACTGGCCAGCACTTGAGATTCAGGAAATATATATGGATAACTAAGAGTTTACAAGTCTATTTCACACCTTAATATAGAAATTGTTTTAAGTGTTGAAACTTAAACTCCTATTCAAAAGATTTCTATCTATGGTCATTATCAGGCATCATTCCTTGCTGTCTACTCTTTAATCAAAGAATCATTTTACCACAGTTTATGACAAGGTTCCATCGCTAAATAAACTATTTCTAGAAAATTCTGCTTTACATTAAGGGCTTAGTTTTTGGTCAAACATTTTTTGGTTAAGAGTGCTCCTCAATTTTCTTTCTCTGTAAATTTCTTTCCTTTTTCTAACATCTGATTAGATGAGTAGATTTCGTGCCATAACATAAAAGCCAACAAAAGTGTAATTTTCAGGAGGCAGTTGAGGAAAAGAGCTCTCTAGAGAAATTATCTGTGTGCCCAGTCTTCAGCCTCTTTCAGTATGAATCTGAACTCCTGAATGGCCCAGAATTATCCAGCTGTCCTTCAAACGTTGCTAGGTTAGCCAGCTGCTAGGGAGGAGAAAGCAGCATTCAGTCAGTTGTTCAACAAGCTTTTATTGAGCATCTAATTTATTCCAGGCCTTGTTCCAGGTACTCAATTTGGAATTGCACCTGGAAACAAAGAGGAACCCAAAACAGACTGCATGGTGTGGCATAAAAGAGATAACCCACACCTTTAAACATTGTCTATCATTTAACTTATTGAGATAATATTAAACCTTTATGAATCTGATTTTTCCGAGTGCCTTTTTACACGCATTCCCCAAAAATAAAACTCCAAATGTTAGCATTTTCAAAAGATCTGTCCTTCAATTACAGAAAACTCTTCTCAGAAAATAAAAATGAGCAATACACACTAATTAGGCACCCACAAGAAATTTAGGAGGAAGCCTAGGGACTCCATCCTATCACATTCTCTGACACGAGATATAAAGCTTAGACCCAGGTAGAAGAGCATTAACTTTGGTCTGGGCTTTCCCTTTCCCACCCTTAGGGGCTTATCAACATGGTCCCACATTGATCCAGCATTTCTTGGCCATCTGTAATCAGGAAAGGGGCCTTGACCACTAGCCTCAGCTGTGCAGACACATGCCAGGCTCCAGGTGAAATGACTATGGCTACCTTATGTCCTAGAATGAATCTAACAAACCTGGGAGCACCTAAGCCTGCTTCAAAACCACTCTAAGGGGGTAACACACTACACAATCACCTTTGTTATGTGCTGTCAACCTTCCCAAATGTTGAGTTTAAGATTCAGACATTTGAGGATATTTTGCATCTCACAACCCTTCAGCCCTTTTCAGTCATTAATTCATTCAACAAACATTTATTTATTAATTACAATGTGCCAACTCTTGGCTAAGCTCTTGAGATGCAAGGATAAATGTGAGAAGATTCAATTCACCGCAATTACTCATCCTTAGTATTGTTTGGAATATATTTTATTTCCATATCACAGTAATAATTCAGGACATATGCAAAAGCCTGTTCGCTAGCTTCCCTGGCTATATTCTTTCTCCTCTTTCAACCTATATCCACATTCATTTATTCCCTAAGTTACTTTATTCTCCTCTCCTAAAAATTCAGTTCCTCCTAATTACCACACAAATCAAATGGATGTACTGAAACATTAACCATGAGACTTTGCATCAATTATCTGCTTCACCTATCTGAATTTACACAGCAAACCAACTTAGTGTTTTTCTGCTCTTTCCAGAGATAGAAACTCATACTTCCATGTCTATTCCTATTTATTGCAGAGATTTTAACTAACCAGTCAGATTTTGTTCCTGAGAAATTTGTTTATTCTCTCTACAAATATTAATCAGCAACCTTCACTGTGAGTCTATGTACCATGCAAGCTAGGCTCTGCAGAAAAAGGCCAAAAGGAAGCCCAGTAGAAGTTCTTGGATCAAGTATAACTGAGATGAGTATTTCATCCATTAAAAATAAACATCAATTAAAGCAGGAAAGCACAAAAACCTACATTAAAAATTCCCTCTAAAGTAGTACATATAAATGTGCATTTATTCGCCTTTCTAATGCAAGAGAGGTCAAAGCTTTTCCTTC